ACAGTTAAATTTCATAAAGAGAATATTATATTTTACATGTAATCAAGAAAAAAATTTGTTGAACCAATTTTAATTTTATCACTAACAGTGATTGAATAATAAAAGGATTATATAAGTAATTACACTGCTCTAAACAGTTCGAGAATTATATATTGTAACTATTATGCCAGTCAACACAGTATATAATTTCTTAAAATTTTTTTGTAAAAATAAAGCTCCATGTTAGAAGCACATGTTTATGTAAACAAAAAGTGGCTGTATGATCTCAAACAGTTGACTGCTGTGGGAGGTAAAACGTGTAAAATTAAAGTAGTGCATAATGACGGAAAAAAGTTTTTTTTTCATTTCGTATAAATATTGTCTTGAACTCAACATTTTTCATAGAATCATATGAATAACATGTCAATCTGTGAAGCCTTCTGCTCTTCTCTTCCTTTCACTTATTGTTAAATGGCAGAATAGAATCCTTCACAGTAGCGATTCTCTAATTGTTATTGAGCAATGTATTATATTTAAAAATTTATACTGTACTTCTTTGCATACAAAAGAAGTTATTCATCAATATTTGTTTAACAAAGTTAGACAGCTTTATGCATTTGTAAATCATCATATATGAGATGGTAAAATTACTTCAATAGCATGGTAGGGTTGATTCATATAATAATTATACTTTGTTCTACTGTTTAATTAAATTATATCTATTAATAGGATTTCGTGATAAAACATTCTTAGAGTATTTAAACACAAAGAACTTAACACCAATTGTGCAACATTATGTAGTTCAAGCAATTGCTATGGCTACTGAAAAGACTACCTGTCGAGATGGTGTGAATCGCACAAAATATTTCCTAAATAGTCTTGGGCGATATGGAAATACACCTTTTCTTTGGCCTATGTATGGTAGTGGTGAACTACCTCAGTGTTTTTGCAGGTACTGTGTTTTATTAATAAAGTATATTTTTTAATAATTTATTATTATAGTATTTAATATATGAGTATTTAAAATACCATAAAACAATTATTGTTATGTTATACAGATTATGTGCAGTATTTGGAGGAGTTTACTGTTTGAAGAGACAGCTTGATGGTGTAGTAATACATAAGGATAAATGCAAAGCTATCATTAGTGGCAAACAAAGAATAAGTTTGGAACATTTGGTTGTTGGTCAGGGTCATCTACCACCAGAAGTTGTAGCTTCTGAAGGAGAGCAACGAATATCACGTGGAATCTTTATTACAGATAGGTAGTAACTTCAAATAGCAAAAAGAAGAAATTATACTGAATTATAAGTGTAACATCTAGATTGTAAATTACAATCCGAACAAGTACTTTTTGATGAAACAGAGCTCAAAATGTAATAAGCAATAAATTACAAAATATTAGAAGTTTTTGGTTAGCTATTTTTATAAAAATTTGTTTTAAACATTGAAATCTTGATGTCAACTGGATATTATGTAACAAATTATTTGGGCAGTAAAGTCATAAATAGTTCAATTAAGTATAAAAATAAAGTTAAGAAATAACAATATGTAAAACATGAATTTAAAATTCTTATAGGACATTATATTCTTTTCACTATAATTTCATTATAATTTCAAATTACTTT